AAACCGTCATCCACCACGTCAACGCTGTGTCGCACGACAGCAATCGGCTGTATATTTTGTGGCGCGTGACACTTTTCGAGACATCAGCCATGGCGGCGACTATTTCTTCTTTATCGCGACAGGCGAGTTGTGTATCATCCCTACTCCGTTTGCATGGGAGGTAGTACTATGGAGTGCTACTGCGTTATCCCACTGTTCTTCGTTACTACGCTGTGGCCACCTCTTATGGATTTTCGTGGCGCATGCGCATCCTAACCAGCATCTATGAGGCACACATATGTTAGATACGGATTAGGTCCGAGAGAAGCATCGTTTACAACACTACTACGGAAGGAATCAACCTTCAGATTCGACTCAGGGTACGGATACCGTTGACTCGTCAGGACATAGAGTGTATCCCCTCAGTCGAGTAGTAGTCCCTCACAGGACCAAGCAAAGGGCTGAGGATGCTTCCTTCAATAGCGACTTGTAACTCAGGATTTTCTCATAAGGAGGCAACCGTCGCCTTGTAGATATCTAGGTGTTGCTGACGGTGTGGGCGGTTGGATACTGGAAGGTGTCGACTCTGGCGAGTATAGTAGACTGTTGATGCATAAGTAATAGCCCAGTAGAAGATGTTTCATCACAGTTGATGGTCATGTAGAATATGCAACGAAATACGAAGCTATGAAAGGGCTCTATTGAGGGACGAGAGTGGTACCAGAGCTAGGTGTCCGGACCCAGTCTTGGCCATGACCAGGGCTGCAAGGCATATCAATCTGTTGGGTACGTCTGCCATTCAACGGTGATACAGATATTGCTCCATGGGGGGCTTTAGACTAGTTGTTGTTCTCATCATTACTCTCTACCACTCATGATAGTGATGGGGAGGAACTATGCTATTGATCTAACGTCAGGTTCATCGACATGTCTGCTTGCTTTCCTCGATCCCGATACCGGTATCCTCAACTCTGCTAACGTGGGTGATTCAGCGTTGATGGCCTATCGTCCAGGGACCTCATTGGTAATGCTCTCATATTCCTCAACACAACATCAACAGGTGTCTTTGTGCAGGCCTATCGGAGTGAAGAGCAGACCTTCGCGTTCAACGCTCCCTATCAGCTTGATAGGAATCAGCGTATATCGTCTCCTCTCCGACTTGCCCAAAAAACAAGGACACGCCTAGAGGAAGGAGATATGGTGAGAATTAGACGGTGTCCCGAATGTATTTCTTGCTATTGCAAGGTCGTTCTCGCCAGCGATGGTCTTTGGGACAATGTTTTTAACAAGGATGTGATGCGTGTACTTGAAGAGCAGCAGACGACGTTCATGCAGCCGCTAAAGAGCTAGCCACAATGGCGGTTACTAACGGTCGGAATAGGTATTAATGTA